GGGGGGGGGGGAGTTGTATAAATTGTTGCATGCATGTTGCAGTGCAGACAACTCGTGAGTATTACACCATGAGCACCAAAACAGCGCTTCCTATCTGGACTCAGCATGCGGAGGAGCACAAAACCTGGATTTCCCCCAACGCCATGCGTCTCTTTTCGAGCAGGACAGACGCGCCGGAGCACCTTGCGCCGGAGTTGCCGGGCCGCGCGTCAGCCCACGGGAATCCCGAGGCCGGCTGCGCGGAGATGGGCGACACGCCGCCCCACTGCGGCCCGCACAGACACCGGCGGGTGGCAGCCAACGCACGGGAGAGGAGGAGGATGCACGGCCTCAACAAAGCCTTTGACGAGCTGAGGAGCGTCATTCCGTCACTAGAGAACGAGAAAAAGCTGTCCAAGTACGACACCCTCCAAATGGCGCAGATTTACATCACCGAGTTGTCGGAGCTCCTGGCTGGCGTGGTCCAGCATCACCCGGCCTCCGCCGCGGACAAAACCCCCTGCAGGAGGAACATGATCCACAGTCACATTGCGGAGCCGAACCGGCAAAGAGAACGGAGGGACTCCTCTTCTTCGCACCTCATCATACTCGGGCCTAAAAGTGAGCTGCATAAAAGCAATTCTTGCCACTGCAGTGATGGGGAATCTTCTCATCTCAGTGACGTAGAAGAGACTCAAAGTGGGGGACATTAAATCTGCACACTGGAAGTACCACGAGCATGGCGAGACAAAAAGTTTACTTTGTATATTTCCTTTCATAGATTTTCAAATATGTACCTATCAAGTGCTTGACATGTCATTTGATGATAAAAATGAAACAAACTGCATATTAATGAGGGGGGAAAAACAGGAAGAAAAGTTACTTTTTTGTTCCTTTTTTAAGAAGGATGACTCAAAGTTATTGGAGACACTGGAATCACCGTTTTTGAGGGTCTTATTTAACTTTTAAATACTATACATGGAACTTTTGTTGAAAATATGACATATTACCACCGAGACTACTTGGATCTTCATCTCATTTGGTGTGCACCTGTATTTGAGGTCAACAACAACAATGTGTTGTCAAGGTGAACTCATTCTTTTAAAAACATCCAGTCTATCAAATATTGAGCTGCTTTTGGTCTTGCGGGTAGTGAAAGGGTTAAGTGATAGTTTGATGGAATAATTAGAAATAGGTTAATAAAGTGGGCTGGAATGTTTAAACATCTTTTTATGGTCACAATGAACTCTCACAGGCCATTTTTTGCACTTTACATGAGCTAAAGCATCATTAATGTGATTATGTTCTACATTTTGGTATTTATGTATATACAGGATTCATGATGGGGTTTTGGTTTTGTTTTGTTTTGTTTTTTTGCTCAAATAAAGATAATACAGAGCTATATAAATTATGTGCTTGTGCCTGTAAGTCCAGAATAAAAATGTCCACCAGTATTGATTCACTGGTGAGAAATTGTATTTAGGTCATAAAAGTGGTGGATTGAGGGGAGTTGCACAGATTTTGTCTAAGTCACCTATACTTTGTGGTTGTGGCCATACACTGGGCCTGTGTGTGTTGTTTGTGTGTGCATATATATATATATATGAAAACGCTCACACTTGCACAGAAAATGTGCACATTGCCTGTGGTTTGCAATGAAGGAACAGTAGCTTTATTGATGCAGCACAATTCATATACAAGGCAAATCAATGTGCTTCACACAAGCAAAGACAGAACACTTCATTCAAAGCATTTACAAACACAACTGCTGACGAATGGCATTCTGAAGCAAAGGAGAGAAAAAAAAATTACATCAAAATTACTAAAAGAAAGTACATTGACAACAATTCAACACATGAAGGGAATACTTGCTTCACCATGCTTGCTTTGAACTCTGCGCTCCACTAATTGACCCGAGTCTGCAGACCCCCAAGGCCTAATAGGTTTACATCGAATCAGCGTTTCCTTGATGTATTCAGAACCCAAACCATTCAGTGATTTATAAACCAGTAGCAGAATTTTAAATTCAATTCTACAGCTGTGACTTGGAGTCAGTTTCATACTACTAGCAAACAAACAAACAAAAAGAATGATTTGAAAACCTCAACAACACCTGCGGTCACTATTTCTTGAAAGTGACCAAATTGAAAATGCATATTTTTGCCATGGAAGTGACAATGCGTCTGAATAATGTTCAGTGCAACTTTATATTGTATGATATTGAATATCGGGTATGACTTTTGAAAATGTTCCTGTTCAGGTTTATTGTTCAACTGCTTTCTAATGAGGCCCGTGGTGTCCATTTCAACTCAAGCTCATCGTTCTCTTCTCTGTAAAAGGTGAAACAACAAAGCGTTCTATCAATACAGTGTCAAGATAAAATTTTTAGTTACATTTTTTTCAATCGGACCCCACTTGTGCAGCTAAATCAGGTACATGATTGTCCATGCACACAAACGAGAAGCACACTCTCCAAGTAAAAGAAAGCAAATAAAGAGTGAGACTCTAATAAAGCTAATGATGCTGCCTGGCTATCTGTCACGTTAAAGTGGCTCTTCCTACTCCACTAATAGCCTATGGGGGAACAAATGGAAACTGCCTCTCTGAAGCAAACGACGTGCTCAGAACCTTTCCACTCCCTCAGAAGTGCTTTCTGCCAGCCTGTGTGTCAAATTGGCCGAAAGCTCTGCGGGTGCGGGCTTGCCAGCTGAGGAGCTGATGACCTCGTCTTTTTGCTCGATCACCTTTTTGTCATTCGCGGGCTGGGTGTCATTCCATATAGCAGGGAACTTGATGACACGCCAGTATCCAAGGCAGACTCAATCACGGACACGTGTTCTCTCTATTTCAGGCTGCTGACCTTTTTTTTTTTAGATGGTCATAATAAAGTTTGTCATTTGTGACATTATCCGGGCTCTGAGGAATGTGTCCCCTCATCCTCACCTTTGGCACTGTTTGCCGAAACAAGAAAATGCCGCTTTGCAAATACTACAGAAGTGTCATTAATGAGGACCTGCCTGAGCCTCCACGTGCATCATCAACAGGTTGGCTGGTTGAGATCAGTTGGAGAAATGGAGTATGGTCAGGTAATGACTTTCCGTGGGAGTGTAGTAGCTCGCTGCAGGATATGGGAATTGCTTTTCACATCGGCCTGGCTGGATATACCCAGCTGCAAGATGAACTCTCCTAACACAGTGATGGCTTGCTTCAAACCACTTGTTTTGTGATGCTCATTAACGTCCAAGTAGGGCTGAACAACTTTGAAAAATAATCTACTGTAAATGCAATTATTTTCCCTCAGTATTGTGACTGTGATTTATTATGCAATTTGTTTTTTTTCAAGGTCTAGTTTCCCGTGGATTTTTTAAAAAATCAAACACAAGCAATCAATTCATCTGTACCACAATAAACAATATCAGATGTATTACAAAGAAATGTTTCGATCTTATAGAGTAGGCTGACGCTAAAATAAACACAAAGGAACCATGAATTAATATGAAAGACCATTTATTGTAATCTTATTACAGAACTGAAGCAAGGGTTCTTTATTTTTCCTCAAATTGCAGCTTTTGCCATTTGAAAATTGCATTCCACTACATTGCTATGTCGATTTGAAAGCGATTTGGTGAGGTTGGTAGATTAGCCAAAATTGTTCTGGAGAATAATACAACTCAAATAAAAGTAAAAACTATGTTCTCTAAATAGTTACTTGAGTGGGAAAAAAAAATACTGAAGTACTGAGTAACTGGTGACTAACTTGTCAAGGACTCCGTAACTGGTAATTAACTTCCGATCCATCAAAAAAAAAAAAAAAAACAGACCATGAAGGTGAAATAAAAATATAAAATCGGAAAGTGCAGACAGCTAGCTAGCTAGAGAGAGAGAGAGAGAGAGAGACAGAGAGAGACAGAGAGACAGACAGACAGATAGATATTTAACAGGATTTTTAAAATGCTTTACTTCGACAGTGTGAAAGAAAAGGGAAAAGTCGTAGACAGGTCTTCTTTATTTATGAGGAGTTGCAACCACCATTTTATTGCAACACTTACTGCCACTGATGAATCACTAGTCAGCAATTTGACTTCATGCCAAAAATGTGTCATAATTTCATTAATGTTGTAGAAGGGGCTACTGTAGGAGGTACAGTTATGAGCTCGCAAATGGTGGATGATGTGGAACATTCATTCACACTTAACATAGGATCCTTCTGCCTATAAAAGACCTTTTTTGTAACATCCTCACCAAATGCAAAATATTGCATTTTCAGCGTAATGTAGTCTCTGCAGTATTTGCGTGGTGTGCTTCACTTTTCAGTCTCATTTTCGACTAACTTCTAGTAAATGGGAAATTCTCTGAGGTCAAAGCACAAACACATCAGCAAAATTGAATCAATGCAATTTGAGGCGAGCCCCACTGAAAATTGCTTACTTTCGACAAATTACCTCATGTGTCTGTATTTTCTAGCTGACTTGTAATCCATTAGGAAAGAAAATAAATAGATGTGTCCAAACCAGAACCGAATAAATTACTGGCTCTCGCAGTTCCTCAAATGTTGTTTTTGCTGATTGCATGAATTTATAATGGACTGAAAGCTTAAAGTTTTGCTTCTGGATGCTGCTTTCAGAAGGTATACATTCCCCCATCACGGCATAAGGTACACCGGCACAATCTGCTCTAGAATGCAGTTAAACTTTAAAAAAGGTAATGCTGTCATGCAAAGGCATAACTGGAAGTCTGTTTTTTCTCAACTAACATCAGAAGCAGAAGCTCGGCAGACAACTCTTCAAAAAAGAGACTTCAGACTACTTTTTTTTTCTGCCACTCCAAGTGGAAGTTTACTGTCAAACAAAATGCGTATTTCAAATGTCCACATAATTCTGCCTTTCAGTCAACTAGTTTAATGCTCACACCCAGTGGCGGACCCTGAGGGCCAGCAAGGCCTTCTCTGCTGGCCTAAACATTCTCAGAAAAGTAAATTTACTTTTCTGAGAATAACATAAATTTGTTATTTTATTTTCATAAATATGTTAACAAAATTATTCTCTGTATTCTTTACGTCATATTATTTCCACTTAGTTGAGTGGCTTTCAATGTTATTTTAAATAACATTGAAAGACAGTCGAAAAATAACTTAATTATTATGGTAGAGTTTTTAACCAATCATATTTCAGCTAGCTTGTGTTGCCAGGTAAATTAAACTTGCTCGGGGCCTTCAGATTGAACAGAGCAGGCCTGTACATGAACGTGCGTAAATTAAATTCAATAGCCAATCAGATCACGAGTCTGAATCAGATCACGAGTCTCAGACTCGTGATCTGTATCCTGTATCCTGACTTGTTCTCGTCTCCTACTAGGGCTAGCTCGGAGGCCTTACGTCGAGACTGGCCGTGCGCGTTCGGTGATTGGATTAGCGCCTTTTCTGTTTCCTGAGAATTGTATCCTGACGTGTTCAATAAAGATTAAAAAAAAAAAGACTGGATTCGCGTCTGCTAGAGCTGTCACTCGCATTTTAACTCAAAATGGCCGAAGGAGAAAACGTTGATCTGGTTGCAGAACTACTTTCCACACAATTTTCAAGA